TATAGGATGAAAGAAAAGTATTAATTCCTTACTTCACAAATAGATTTATATAGATGAAATATTGTAAAGATTTATAACACTGTTTAAACTTGTTGTAGACTACCTCTATTTCCCAACAGAAGAAGGTTGTCTATAAAAGTTTTCTGAGGTTCTAGCACTGATTCATTACTTTATGTTACTTTTTTTTCTCTCTGATATAGTAGGAACAACTACAGCAGTGCTTATGAAAAAAAACCTACAACAAACAACAACAACAAACCGAACACCACATTACCCTGAGGGTAGACTATGCAAACACAACCCTTTTTTCACTTCTGGAATAACAGTTCCAATTGAATGCCCTATATTAGATTCTTTTCGTGTTTTGAAATGTGCTTATTTGGTGGTTCTCAGAGTGCAGAGGCAACACACATTAAAAAAAATAAGAAACACATTGGCATAATTGTCTTTGAGCTAAGAAAAAAATAATTCTCTTTCCTTCCCTCCATACTTCAACATGTAGGTTTTTTTGATGCTTGGCAAACTGGGTAACACTGTCAACGCAGTGTATGAAAGCTGTATTTTAACTCACCCTATGTAAAAATACAGACTTCCACTCTCAGATGGGGGGGGGGGGGGGGGCAGCAAAGGTAGCTGAATTTAGTAAGTTTCAAGCAGGAAAAGCCGAATACTAAGAACTTGTCTACCACTACAAACCTCCTAAAATAGTTAGCCTGTAGAATATTTTTCCCAAATAGTTATTTCAGTGTGAACTGCCTTTTGAATACTTTAACACTTTAATTCTAAAGGAAAAATGCCTTTTTCCGACTTAGCATGGTACAAACATAGTATATTCAAACACTTGGAGGAGAGAAATCTCTGTCCAGAAAAGACTCTTCATATATGAGCTCATATACAATAAACTATTCAATAATGTTGTTTTAGTAATGACACAAGGATAATTTTTGAGTTGATCAATAAACCAAATAATAGGCTGTGACAAAAAGAAAAAAAACAAGCCTAACCCAAAATTTTGCAACTCTGACTCCCTATTTTTCTCTAGTCTGCTGACCTCACTATGGGTCACTTATGGTTTGGCTGCCTGCAGTCTATAACCACAGATCATGTAGAGCAGTCTGATTCTGCAGAAAACTAGTAAAAGAAACTGTAGCCAAATCAATACCTGCCTCCCATACTAAGTTCTTGAAGTAAACTAACATGAAACGCTACACAATATGAAGACATGAGCATGACAACCACTGTTGAAGAAAGTAATTTTGATGATTAAATGATATCAACAAACAGCACTTCTAAATACATTTTTATGGATGCTAAGGGGACAGCTGATGGACCAACAAACCTGACATTTAATGGATTTGAAAAAAAAAAGCTCCAGGATTTATGAAATGCAGAGATTTTTTTTAAAAAATTAAATTAATTGCAGAAAATGTTTTAAAGTTGCAAGTAGGCCCTAAGATTTACTTCGTTTATTTTCATCTTTCTCTGTTTTTTTGAATATACAAAAGAAATGTGCACTGGAAAACAGTCCTGAAGGGAGTGCTGGCACAGAAACATGGAAAGACATATCCTGCAGCAAAGAAAATTAAAGTACTGTATTAATATATTTAAGGACTGTTTTCTTCCTTCTTGTAATACAGAAGGAGTTAATGTGTGGGGGTCTTTTTAGAGAGACACCCTTATGGTCACTTTAAACTCCATGTTTTAGATGTAAAATGGAGGTAACTGAACTTCCGCATCTTTGTGAGATACTTTGAGACTGAAAGAAAAATTAAGTTACAAACTTTCCATTCCCTACTGGTAATTTTTTTTTGTCAGTGAATTCTTTCACTGACTGCCATCTCACTATGTAACTCAAAGATACACTTCTTGTTGTTTATTTCATAACAGTACTTTGATGCTACTTCTCATTTCCCACCAACACTACATCCCACATATATCAGCTTTATGCTGAAATTCTCATCCTTTCACCTTATTTGTCTGCATGCCTGTTCCCTTACCTTGTCTTTCACACATTCCACATATTCCTCCATATTTCAACTCCTGTTGAAAAATTATCTCTGATTTTTTTCCACTGGAATTTATAGTTCACTTACACTAACATGTATATTGACTGTAAAACTCACAAGAGTGCATAGTCCTGACAAATCATCACCCCACTCATCCTTCATGTATACCACACAGCCCAAAGATGATCTGTTTCTGCATTTTTCACATGATTCTAAACTTTAAATATTTTCTACCTGCAAATCACTTCACCTTTATGGAAAGCTATGCTTTAAAAAAACAGCTTCTGCACAGAGGAGTGTTCAAAACTCTGCATTACATACAGTATGTAACTCTGCAGTTACATACAATCATGTAAATATGGAAGTTTCCAGTCTCCATGATTTTTTTCTAAAGCGTTGATTCCTTCCTTTGTAAATTAGCACGTTAGACATACACACTGTAAAAAGAAAGTACGAAAAATATCACATCAATAACAGATTCCTTTCCTGCTTTACATTCCTTAGAATAAGAATAAATGGCCAGGTGGCATTAACTCTTACCGTCATTTTCACAAGACTAGAAAGTGTAAATGATTTGCTTGTTTGTTTATTTGTTTTAGAATTAGAATCTTCATAGTAATCTTTTGGGTCAGCTCTGATGTATGATCTGTGTCTGTTTCATGGACACATTATTGTACAATCTTACTTATAATCCAGCAATTTGAAAAAAGTGGGGTAGAAGACTGAAGAGTTTGTGTTTATGTAAATCTGGATTAAATAGTTCCTATTCTATTAAATATTTCAGCATTTAGAATAAGTCTGAAAAAACCCTACTATGGCATAACAATGTTATTAAGTGAATTATAATGAGGTTTCTCTAAGTTACATAAGCATAAGTTACCCTCTTACATTAAAACCCTTTTCATCAATTCTGACAGTCTAGAATTCAACTGCAGTAACATGGTTGAAACATAAATCTGTAATTAATAATTTCAGCTCTCTCTCTTCATATAAAATAATCAAGTATATTGAAAAAAAGGTAGCATAATTAAAATAGTATCTAACTACAAGGAACATAAAATAAGACTACTAACCCACAGTGTGAGCTGTTCCTCTATGCTTCTTTGAAATCTTGTTTGCTTTAACTATATGTAGAGCATTTTCTTTGAATTGCAGCTCACAAAGTCTTTCAAGAAGAACTGTCATTTCTTCAGTGATGGTATCCAGGTAAGTTTCATTAATAAACTTCAATGATGAAGAAAGATCAATAGTTCCACTTAGTACATACAAATCCTCTCTTATCATTGTGCACAATGTGGGCATGGAACTTTGGTAACCATGAACCACCTTATCAAAATTCGTTTCACCACAACTAGACAAAATACAGTTCTGTAGAAGATCACTGACCACTTTATTCTGCATATTTTGATACTTTGTTAAGACTTCTGATTCAGGATAAAGAAACAAAAGTTGCTGTACACACTGAGTTTTAAACTCCATTTGTTGTTGCAGAGGATTAGTATTTGTTTCTTCTTGACTTTGCAGTCTATTTACCAAAAACTGTCGAAGATGCAATCTCACATCATCCCAAAGTGATTTCACATCCATAGCTGAATCATCCTCAATGGCATGAAGGGAAGACGTTAACTCAAACGACATCCCACTTGGAGTACAGGGAAATGAGACACCACACTGACTAGAGAGATCCAGAAGGAAGTGAAGTACCATTTCTTCTTGATTTTGCTCATTCTTCAGCAAGCTTTGCTAACAAAGGTAAATTAGACAATATTTTAGAAATGTTTTGCTAATACTGGTTCATTAAATGAACAGTTTCATGCTAGAGTAAAAACTGTTTCCAAGACTAATTATCCTACCAGCAAATAAGATACATTGCTATATAAACAACAGAAATGAGAAAACCTGTAGAAAACATGATTTATGTGCCAATTAATTTCCTTGTCTACCTCTACCAATAACTCACATTCCTCTTCCCCATTTTTCTGATATCCTCAACCTCTTTTCACAACCAAAATTCAAAGGAAACCCTTGGCAGCCTGTTTGTTATGATCACACACATATCTTTGAAAGAAAATTGTATGCAAAGCTACTGAAGATTTACACAGATAATGACAGGTTTTCTTATAAAACCAAGCCAAGAATTTATGAAATGCAATATGAATGCCTTCTATGTTCTGGCTCAGCAGGCAACCATCAAAAGACCATTTTAAGGATAAAATAGTCTTTGCAGAACCCCCTTAAAGAATGAAAATTGAAAACTTGTTAAGAATTAAAGAGTCTTCGAACACAGAGGACAGAAGAATAAAAGGCCAAAGAAACCAAAATGCAACTGATACATTAACAATATAGCAACCTCCATATATATCTCAGCTATATGGGTTGGAGAAGGCAGTCAGTTAATGCAGCAGGTGAAACTACATGGATGCATATGCTGTTCCTATTTAATTCAAGTCTGAAGAACTCTCTCTTGGTCCAGGGCCAGGATCTCTGATCTTAGAGCTGCATCAGGCTCAAGAAGTCACACAGCAAATAGCAGGTCCTCTCGTTACAGCTCAGCATTTTCTCTTGGCCCAGAATGACACAAATTTAAACAGTGCTCTAATGCTTTCCTTAACAGGTATGAGACGAATCATTTGCATGAGCATGGTGTGTCCAATCTATGAGTAGAAGTCAACCCCAAAGTCCCATGCTCCCTGGACGCCAAATATCTTTTCTCTCAGAGAAAAAAACTTGTCCATTATCAACCCATTCCCCACATCCTCAACAATTTCGCTACTGCAGGATGACTTTGGACACAGTCCTCGTCCCCTCAACTTTTAATTTGTAAAGACCTACTCTCAATTGTCCAACTGCACTGGAGCTGTCTGTAAATATCCCTGTCAAGGTAACAGGAAAATAAAGTGAAATTGGTGGCACTCTTAATTTTCCGAGCTTCAGACACCAAGCAGGCAAGTACTAAGAGAATCAGGATTAGAAGTCCTCTCACTTGCTCCCTCACCTCCCACTGCTTCTCTCCAACAGAGAAAAGCAACGTGGCAAACTACCTCAGGGTAGTTCTTTCTACTCTTGCCCTTTTTCATCTAGGTATCCCAGCTATACTGTGTCCTATGAAGTAAAGCTGGTAAGGAAACTGCCAATTAATTTTCTTCCTCCTTCAGAATTACCCATTTATTTAACTCATAGTAATTGAGGAAATGATTAGTTTTATTTCCTTTCTCATTTTTGAAGGAGATAAAAATAATTCTAATTTCAGTACGGTATTGCATAAATGTAACGATTTCCAAATACAAAAATCTTCAGTTTTTCCACAGTGGCAACTTCTATCAATAGATAATTACACTTTTGAGTCATAAAAATTTTCAAAATCTTAACTCCTATTCTTTGGTCTAGATGTTTCAAAACTGTTACACTCTTATACAGGAAAAGGAGAGTTTAACCTTCCTATCGCCCTCTACACTGGAATGTTTCATGATGAAGTTTAAAAAATAAGACACCACAGGAGCTAATTCTGAACAACAGAAAGGGAGCATGGCTGCCTCTCATAAAAGAAACTTTAAAAATAATAGACTAGTTCTTTTTCTTCCATTTTAGAGCTTTGTTTCAGAATGATCCCTATTAATTTTTTTACTCATAAAGCACAAAAGACATATAGGAAATATTGGTCAAATATCAATATTTCAATAAAGGAAACCATCAGTCAAATATGATCCCATAAAAGCATGTGCACGTAATAGAAATATGTATCACTAGTTAAAATCTTAAATCATACATATCAATAGGCATACACATAATGCTGATCTTATTTTCTTTTATTATCTACCAAAGGGTTCTATAAGGTTTTGTGGCCCCAAAGACAATGCGTCACAGAGCACAAAACTAAAACCCTGAACCACTGTGTTGAAGAGTTGAGTCTTCACAGGTAGATTTCTGGGCTTTAAATGTTACATTTTTTAATTAATCAAGCTCAAATACTATATTCTGAAATGTAAAAATCAAAAGAAGTTGTCAAAACAGTGAATGTAACTGATGCCTTCGGATGATGAATCCAAATGACCTTCCAGTCAAATCCCTGCTGCTGTTTCATAAGGTGAAGCAGAAATGTTTTTATGTATCTAAGGGCTGTTTCAAGCCCATTGCATTTTAAAATAAAGCATTAAAAATAGGGAGTTTGCAGATGCCATTTTAGACTTAATGTTACTCAGAAAGAGTCCCTGAAGTGAACTCTGGAGCTCCAAAAACAGTGTCAACAAGTCTCTTTGAACATTGCCTATATTGATACAGGTTTTTCTATTTAAAAATTAACTAGTAAAATACTTCAAAAGGTCAATGCCAAAACTGTTTAAGAGAAATAGATCCAAATTAGTATCCAAAGGCTTGGAGAAACATGAAAAGTTCCCTTACGAGCACAGAAGGTTAGTGACAATATCATACATAAACCAATTGCGGTCTACCAACTGGACTACTACCTACTACATACTGCTACCTATCATACCAATAAACGAACACAATAGGATGAAGACCTCATTAAAGAAGAATTTGACATTATTTTAGCAGGAACCGAATTTCATGAAGACATGTTTGTTCACATAATCAGCTTTTAAATATTTAGAATTTCAAGGCACTATAAATAATAACAAAATTTCACTTAATTACCATTTTCAGGTTTCCTGAAGCCTCTCAGTATTTTAATTCCACAAATGCAGGAGAATGACAATAAACCTTCATACAGCACCCCAGACAAAATATAGGAAGAACTTTGCACTATTTTGTAAATTGTTTCAGCAATTATACAAACAAAATTCCTAACAAAATAAAAACACATAATAAGGGATAACAATGAATAGGGATATTGTCCTAAAGTAGAAGGAAGGTTGATATTATTGAAGATGCATTGTATATACTTAATTAAAAGCATGCAAGAAGAAAGTAACTGAGTAATTAGTTCAATGTCTGGAGATACACATTTCATAGAATAATAGAATCAACCGGGCTGGAAGAGACC